GTTGCAGAGGGTGGCTCCCCAGGGCTTTGCCTCACAGTCAGTGAGGGACGCTTCTGTCCCTTTGCAGTTAATCTCAGTCAGCCAGATCTGCCCCTTTCCTTCTCCATATTTGGACTCACGAGGAGCTGATAGTGCTGTCCCACAGCCCAGCTGCTTGCACACAACCTTCGCCTCCCTCATATCCCAGTGGTCGTCACACACAGTCCCCCAGACGTTCTTGTGTAGCACCTCCACTCTCCCAGAGCAACGATTCGGGCCATCCACCAGGCGGATAGAAGTGGAGACGGTAATCCCTGAGTCTGCAGACATAGCCAGACAGAAGGCTGTGCATCCACATGTTTGTAGCCCTCGTGTTTTCCACCCCACTTGTGGACAGGGCACAGCACCCTGCACAGCAACCTCCCATTCAGAGCTTCCTCCCCATAAGAAATGCAGCTATCCCAGAAATATAACAGTAGCCTTTGCCAGATGCACAGGGAAATAAAACAGATAGATACCATGTCGAGGCCTAGCTGTGGGGAAAGATACTGGTCTGAAACAAATTAACTCTCAAGTAAATGAGCCAATGCACAGGGACTGTACGTCCCAAATTTGACAAAATGAATTCTTAGTCACCATAAAAGATTGACCCAAATTTGATCTGGGAAAAAGTGGCCATAGAGCACCATAGTGAGCAGAGGGAGGAAAATCTCCCAGGTCATGAGACCCTTCCATGCTATAAGAACTCTGAGCTACCGGCAGGAATATTTCGCTTGCATCAACTCAACAGGTGAATGCTGTTAAGCCCCTTTTCCCTTGTGAGGACATTTCAACCTGTTGCTGGCAAAATGAGGAGAATGCAAAGATTACCTGAGCAAATTGCACTAGCATCTTCCCCATGGTAACAATTGTGTTCCCCCCATGGCCTCGCCTGGCATTCAGAGATGGCAGTTTCCATCCCTGTGCAGTTCACGTCATCCAGCCAGAGGGTGTCAGTTCCTCGTCCGAACTTAGCTCCAATGGGGGCCAGCACTGCATCCCCACAGTTCAGTTGCCTGCACACAACTTGGGCATCATCCATATCCCAGCTGTCATGGCACACGCTGCCCCACCGTTCTTCATGAAGCACCTCAACTCTGCCGGCACATCTGTTTGGGCCATCCACCAACCGGATTGGCCCTGGCTCAGGTATTTCCTTTTCTGCAAAAAATCCAAAGAAGAAATTATTTTGAAAGTGGTTTCTGTGCATCTGATCACAAGAGGAAGGCAGGGTCTCTTGTGATGCACCAAAACTGTCTGTGCACATCCCAAATGCCTGTCAAGGGCTCCCTTCCCACCTTCTGACATAAGAAAGAAGGTTGAAGGAAGAAGAATGACAACATGGAGGCTGTCAGGAGAGAGAGGGAACTGTCTTTGTTCACTCTCAGCACTGCAGATTGTTTCAGGTCCTAGAATTATGATGCAACTTCTCTAGGCCAATAGGAGTAGGAAAGTGGATCCCAGCCGAGTCATTCTGCGGCCCTAACTCCCTGATTAGGTTTGTCAGAAATTGCACTATAGGCCATCTGGAGGCAGAAGGGCCAGTGTGGCCCAAAGTAAGAAATATTTAGAGCTTACCTGAGCACTCCACGCTGGCATCTTCTACGTGGTTGCAGATGTTGTCTCCCCATGGCTTTGCCTCACAGTCCGTGAGGGACGCTTCTGTCCCTGTGCAGTTAATCTCAGTCAGCCAGATCTGCCCCTTTCCTTCTCCATATTTGGACTCACGGGGAGCTGATAGTGCTGTCCCACAGCCCAGCTGCCTGCACACAACCTTTGCTTCCCTCATATCCCAGTTGTCATCACATATAGTCCCCCAGACGTCCTTGTGTAGCACCTCCACTCTTCCAGAGCAGTGATTTGGACCATCCACCAGGCGGACCTCAAGTTTGGCTGTGTCTACATCTTCTGGGGGGAAAAAAAAAAAAAAAAAGACACCCCAGGGTGAAGGCAGGGAATGTGAAAGAGAGAGTTCTGGCTGTCTTCACCCCCAAATCAGGGGGAACAAGAGCCTGAGGCACTCTAGCATCCAAAATCTTTATGCTTTGGTGACTGGGAATCTCTTTTTGAGATGGAAATGGCCAAAAGCTGTAGTTGTTTAAGTGACTGAAAGTCTGTTTTGAGAAACAAAATGCAGGGTTCATTTTCATCTGCAAAGGCAGAGATGTAACCATACCAAAACTACTCTGTCATTTAGATCCTGCATGAGCTTCCCCATGATTAGGCCAGCCTCTCTCAGCAAGTGCTGCTCCAGATAACTGGACTGGTATACAGAAGAGAAAATCTAGAAGTTTTCATTCTTTCCCCAAGAAAAGGATTGGCTTTGCCCACAGCTAAGGGCAGCAATTGCTGGTCCTCAGTTGATGTGGGACTATTGCATACATAAATATAGTCAGTACTCAGAACTGGAAAGGATTTTTCTCAAGTACTCAAGCCTGTTCTTGCCCACCCCACCACACGATCCCACTCAAAACCTGCAGGGCTCTAGGACTTATCAGGCTTTGATCCGAAACTCGGTTTGCCATTTTAGTACTGAGAATCAAATCTCTTTCGATAGTGTTTTGCCTTTTGCATGGATCTAGGGTGCTGTAGTGAGAATAATTCAGAGACTGAAAAGTGACAGGATCCCAAAACCTGAAACACCTCCGCAGTGGTTCATGGAGGAGCCAAGGGGACACTGGACATTTCTCCACCTCATGGAGATAAGATTCTAGCATCTGGGATGTTCTGAATTCTGGTTTAGCTTTGCTAAAATAAGCAACTGTCTTTAAGTGCTCCTTTCATCCAGAGCCCTCCAGTATGGTACCAACTGCACCTCATAAATTATATCGGAGGTAGAGTCAGTTCTTCTCCATTAGATGGTCAGGAGAAAATGGTATAACATGTTGGCCACAGGAAGAGGATTTGGATAAAAGTCTCTTAACTCTGTACAGCCCACTCAAATCTCTAGGTTAGATATAGCACCATTCTGCGCAACGTTTTATGAGGTACATGCAGACTGACTCATGCTCCACTCTCTACTGCAAATACTGACCTGCCAGGAGGACGCCAGTAAAGGAAGCTGAAATATAAAAAATATAGGACATTAGTCTCCATCCGATAAGCTCTGAAAAGCCTGGAGATTCAGGGTAGCAAAGTACCAGGCAAGAGACAAGACACTGTTAGAGCCTGTCACAGTTCTCAGTTTCCCAAACCCAACTGCCCATGGGTTTTGCGTGTCTTAGTGCATGTCTAGGGAACTTTCTTGATAAAGTGATCAGATAGAGATATAATTTTTTTTCAAGTGTGTTGGAAAAAATTTGATTTGGGTAGATAATGTGAAACAGATCAGTTGGGATTCCTCTCACCCAGTTTTAGTCATCTAAAAGACAATGTCCAGACTGAATTAGTTATCTAGCCACCTGCTATAGTCAGTGGAAGGAGCTGAGCTTTGCCTGATGTGTACTCATCCCATCCTTGGTCAATGTCCAGAGCAGAAGGTTGAATTCCATGCTGGAGGTGCTGTTTCTCCCTAGAGTCTCTGGGTGTAACACCCAACTCTTAGCAAAAGCCAGGTAAGAGGTATACTACTGAATGAGTTGCAAAGTGTGATGAGTTGCAAACAGCATAGTATTCTTTTTTCCTTCCTGCTGGGGCCAGGTCATGAAGAAGCATGGCCATTTCTGAACTTCAGCAAGACACTGGACACAACCTCAGGTGTAGTGCCAATCTGACAGGCAGTAATGGCATTGGTGAAATCCAACAGGAACAATTATGGACCTGCTAATAGAAGTCGGCAAGGAAGTTTCTTCATGGTAGAATGCATCTGCAACTCTGTGCAAAGTGGCTATTCCTGCTCAGAAGCTTTTCTGGGAATTAAAAACAGGCTGACGCAAACCCTGGAAGGTGGACTTGGAAAGCCTGAGGGAAAACTTGCCAGCATCTGTTTGTCCTGAAGACTCTGGAGAAGGGGACTTTGTACCACCGTATAAGGTCAGCAGCAAAGAAGGGCTTAATTCAAACAATTTCTGCTCCTAATTGTAGCAGTCTGGCAAGGTCCCAAGCATTGACCAACAGCTTTGGGCAAGGGAAGAACTGCTGACACAGTCATTAGCATTATTGCCCAGGTAAATATCTTTTCCACCTGCCTTTTTGTAGCTATTTTTAAGAAACGTGGACTAGGATTCCTAAAAGTTATCCCCATTCTCTTTGAAAATTCCAGGGACATTTCATTGTGGCCTTCTGAAATCCTTGCCTAAGTATAATAGCCATGAAGCCTATTCAGTACCTCCGTCCCTTTATCTCTGGGTTTGGTCCCATCCCCGCCATACATGAACCCACAAAGGGGAGGGACTCAGAGGAAAGAAACATGAGAAGCAAACTCCACCTTGTTCAATGCTACCTTTTCTTGTGAGGGTTGGGTTTAGGTCTAGAATGAGACATTTAAAATGTCTACATCAAATACGTCAAGATGGGGCTGCTTCCTGCTGTCCATCTGTGGCTGTCTAATGACATCTGAGACACCCTACGGGATGCAACGGTCCACACTGAGCTATCACATATGTACCAGCAATTGCTGGACAGATAGTCTAAAGGGGGATTCAGCTCACTGTAAAGTAGACACCATGGATTGCATTTCCCCTTCTTGCAATGCACCATTTGCTATGCGCTATGGGCTGTAGAAGGAGCAATAGCGGAAGAGGAGTATCACTGACAAAGGGATCCCGAGACAAAAGAAAAGAGAAAAAAAACATCACTTACCCCAGAGACATGCCAGGAGGACAAGCTTCATGTTGGTAGCACAGAAACCACGTGCTCTGTGTCTCCACAGGAGGAGAATGCAGGAAAGGAGACAGGACATGCACCCAAGGGACAGGGTATTTGACAATTTCCCTGGGTCCTGGCCCCTCCCCTCCTTCCTGAAACCTCCCTTTGTGCCCCATGGCAGGTACTCAACAAGTACAAAAAGACAGACTCTTTTGCCATGGACTCTGGCATCATGTAGGCTGTGGGATTGTGAAACTGGACTGTTCCGGGAACCTGTTGAGCAAACAAGACATCTCAGGACAGCTGGTTCTGGACCATAGGTGGCAGTGAGGTGGGGGAGACAGGATTTTGCAAGTCATCCTCCAGGACTGGCTTCCCGCAACTGCAAGTATAAGGGACCAGTGCCCAGGCTCAACTGTGAAAATGAATGTGATCCCACACCCTTAATGCAGCACAGGAAGCTCTTTTGCTCCCGTGTTTGTCACAGAAAACAGGAAATCTGTGTGAAATTTTGTTCTAAAGTTTGTCTGTGTTCACAATCCAGTTAAGTCTTTGCTCAGCGTGAGACCTCCTTCCAGTCTTGGCAGCACAAGAGACGAAGGCAGCAGCACACCATCCCTCATAGTGGGAAGCAGACTCCCAGATCCTCTTCATTCAGGTATTCACAATGCTGAGCAGGTGCTGCTGTCATCTTGGGTGGGATCTACCTTGTCTGCTGTCTTGACATCTGTATCTAGGGAATTCATATAGACACCTTGTATGCTCAGCAGGGACCATCAAGCACTCCTAGGAGACAGGTCCACGTCTTGTATGAAGACATTAGCCTTAGTGAGACGTGAGTCTCCCTGGGAGTGCTTGTTCCTCCCAGGTAAGCAGCTTGGGCCCAGCTGTTTGTACTGGAGAGTGAATGAGTACAGAACTAGTAAGCCCTTTCAGAGCAACAGCATATCCAGGCGATGAAAGATAAGGTGATGGGTTAGGAAAGCAGGCCTGACTAAATGCAAATATCAAGCTACTATGGGGTCATGGCTTTCCCAGGTAAAGACATGCATCAATCTAAGTTAAGTCACGTCCATATTGAATTTTGTATCAAAGCTGTGTGTGTTAGGGGAGAGCATTGCATCCACCAGAGCAGATGAACTCTGTATCATATAATTTGAAGACTGTTCTAACCTAATTTTTGCTCTTCCCCATCAAAGAGACTTTTACTCTCTCCATTTCTGTCTTGTTTTCTACACTCTGTTAGCTGTTACTACCTCCCTTCTGGACAGTCTCCAGGATGGCCAACCTCTTTCCTAAAGGCTGGTGCATAAACCAGCCACTGATGTGCAGCAGAGATTTCAGCACTGTTGGTTAAAGAAGAGGATTGCACATGTATCTCATACACGAAATACCCCTGTTCCAGGAGTCTGAAGTGAAGTTTGCTTTTTTTGCAATATCCCAGTGCTGTTGATTCACAGCCTGTTCTGATTTGATACAGATTCTCATACTCTGCCTACCTTGTTGGAGACTGGCCAGCAAATCTCAGTTTGTATTTGTGCAGCTGATTGTTGACTTGATAGGTAATCTTGACAAACCTGTGTTAGCTGATAACGGCAATCGTTATCTTCTAGGTGAGCATAAGTAGATGGATTGGTTTTCTACTTAATATTTTTCAAGGAACTGAATTTAGACTAAGTCTTCTAAAATTCCCTCCTCCTTCATTCGTTCATTCATTTCTTCCTTTCATTTTTTCTCTTTCTTTCTTTCCTTCTTTCTTTCTTTTTCTTTCTTTCTTTCTCTTTCTTACTTTCCTTCTCTCTTTCTCTTTCTCTCTTTCTTGTTTCTAAACATAGGCACTGTGTCCAATCTGCCACTTATTTCAAACCTCATCTCCCATGCACTGATAAAGACAATAATTGCTACAGCCAAATTCCCAAATATTTTTGTGTGAATTGTGAAAAGGATTAGAATTTGAAATCAAGTGGAAAAATTCTGTCCTTCCTAAGTATGGAGTCACTATTTCAACCTTTTCAAAATCTTTTCCTTACTACTAATTATTTTAGTGCTGTCATAACAATAAGCCATTTTAGTGAAAATGGAAACATGCAGAAACCATTAAACACATGATACTACTTGACACCCACTTTCACGAGCTTCCCTTTCCCTCTG